GTTGGGTGTGTTGGGGGAATGAAAATGTCTGGAATTGAAATTACGAAGGGTTCATCTGGGGGATTTCTTAAGGCATGGACGGCGAAGATCTTTGTTGTGATGAAGACGATGCATATTGACGGGGGTCTTATAGGAACTGTCCTTGAGAAGTATGCATAAATGGAATGGATAAAAACCATTGCATATATGCAGTACTATGAACATAGTTACCGTTAACCATGTTACCTTTCAAGGTCAATTTTTTTTCTTCTGTTTTTCCACTTGTTGTTCTCTTTTCTATTTATATTGCACCAATGATCTCCCCATGTATTTGGCATATCAGTTTCATGTTGTTCGCGTAGACATCTAGACTGAGAAGGGATATCTTGTTGAAATCCAAACTGCAATTTTACCCTATCAGCTTGATGCATTTCAACAATATGAAAACTGATAATTGATGTGGTCGCGTTCCAAATCTGGCTATTTGCAAGGACGCATTCTGGGTAGTTCGGGTAGGGTCTCCAAACAAACTGTTACAGAAAATACAATAGTTGGAGTTTAAATACAGATGTTAGCATATAGTTAGAGAATGTAACGGTAACAAACTTACACCGTTAACCCTCAATCTATCTAATGCAAATCTAAATCCTCGGATGTAGTGCCGAGGATTATTTTGGTAAGCCATGCCTCTTCGAACAAATCTTGCAATTTTAAAAGAAAGAAATGTAATAAAGGAATGTAAATAAAAGAAAAGAAAAGAAAATATAAATAATTGTTACCTTGTTGCATAAGGATGGTATGACTCGACAGAACTCTCTGGAGCAATTAGTGGTATATGCCAATATGTCCAAAGACTTAGTAGAAGAACGCATCCTCCAATATTTTTTACCCCTACTCTACATGCTTTACACATATGCCTATATAATGTAACTAAACAAGCAGAACCCCAACTATATCTATTGCATTTATCTAAACCTCCTATTAGGGGCATCTAAGAAGAATGTAAATAGTTATGTCTCTTGTCGGGCATCAATACTTTAGCTATGAGTAGTAGTATATAAACTTTTGCATGGAGAAGATTCTCCTCATCGGATGGCGATGTGTTTTGTTGTAGTTGTGATAATATAGTTTGTAGCCAAGCAATTTTAACACATACTTTATGTTTATCGGATGTCGATGGTTCGATACCTAAATTTTCCATATATACATCACTGCTTACCTGAGTAGGACCATTCACAGTCTTACCATTTACACAGAGACCTAATAACATACTTACATCCTCCAACGTGATGGTACATTCACCTGTTGGAAGATGGAAAGTATGTGTTTCTGGTCTCCACCTCTCAACCATAGCAAGTACGAGATTTGAATCAACATTGATAGTGGTTATTTCTGCAACTTTTGCAAAACCTGCTCGTTCCAAATACGGTTTGATTGCATCACTTGGTGTATTGATAGTATGAGAATGAAGTTTAAATCTGTCGTTGTCGGACTGTTTCAAATATTGAAAAATAAAAACAACTTAATGGTGTAATATTGAAAATAAGAAAAATAACAAAATATAACAAAATTTAATGATATAATGGTGTAATATTAAAAAACTTACGTAGGCAGCAATATTGGTCGGTGTCCCCCGATGGTTTTCTCTCATCCACAACATTGTCATTTTTAAGAAAAAGCGATGAGTAAAATAATGAAGGTGTTGAATTAATTTGTTGATTTTGCAATGCATATGAATAAAATGTGTGTCTATTTATAAGAAAAAAATGTGAGTCTAAATGATTGATGAACCATTGCATGCAATTATACGTTAGAAATATGAGTTAAAAATATGAGGTAAACCATTGCATGCAAGAACTCTGCATCCCTATACATGATTCCCTCTGCATCCCTATACATTGCATGCAAGAATTCTGGCTAGATAAGACTACACACTGCACCTATCCAGTTCGACTAATGGAATGCCATGCAACCTCACAGTCTTCAATGGGTCGTCCTTTGGTTGGACGAATGCACATGTGCATGGAAATGAGTCGTCTATTGGTTGGACGAACTCACACGTGATTGGCAATGGGTCATCCTTTTGTTGGACGAACTCTCACTAATTTGCAATGGGTCGTCCATTGGTTGGACGAACTCACACGTGAACAACTTCTATGTCGCAGGATCATATGAAATTAGATTCTGAAATAATTAGCCACAACATCAGGGAACTTGTTAACCGCGACGCTTCACTAAAAGTCAAAGTGATACAAGCTCATATTGCTGAAAAATACGGTTATAGAATCTCATATCGGAAGGCTTGGATTGCAAAGATTAAAGCCATAGAATCACTATGGGAATTGGGAGACGTCTTACAATGAATTACCACAATGGTTGTTGATGATGAAGACATATATTCCTGGAACTGTTATACAGTTGGAAACATTGCCAATTATTACAGACAAAGGATCCCAATTAGGCGACAAACGGAAATTTTACCGACTTTTTTGGGCATTTGAACCATGTATTCGTGGTTTTACTTACTGTAAACCTATTGTACAAATCGATGGAACCTGGTTGTACGACAAGTACAAAGAGACTTTGTTGATGGTTGTGGCACAAGATGGAAATGGTAACATTTTTCCGATAGCATTCACATTGGTTGAAAGTGAGACAAAGGATGGTTGGAGTTTCTTTCTCAGGAATTTGAGAATGAACGTGACCCCCCAGGCCAATCTTTGTCTAATATCCGACCGACATCCATCAATCAAGAGTGCTTATGATGATCCTAAAAATGGGCGGCAGTATCCTCTATCTTCACATGTTTACTGTATCAGACACATTGCGCAAAATTTCATGCGTGAGTTTAGAGACAAAGAACTACGGAAAACAGTTGTCAACATGGGTATGCCTACATCTTCATGAGTTGATGTTTCAATAAATATTTATTGACTAATTGATTTTCATATTTTTTTCATGAACATTTTTTTAAAACCTTTTTTCCTACAGGATATGCACTAACGGAGGAAACATTTAACTACTACCAAGGCGAAATATGGAGAACAAATATAACAACTTTGGAGTGGATAGACGGTATTCCCAGAGAGAAGTGGTCGAGGCGTTCGACGGAGGACACCGGTGGGGACACATGACAACAAATTTGGATGAAGCTATGAACTCGGTACTTAAGGCTACCCGAAATCTTCCTATTACTGCATTGGTCAAGTCAATGTTCTATCGCCTGGGTTCGCTGTTTGGAAAACGAGGATACGATTGGACAAAAATGTTGGCATCCGGCCAAATTTTCACCGAAAACTGTAATAAGGGAATGGTCGGCGAAACGAGTAAATCTAGCATCCATAATGTCATCCAATTTGATCGCGAGAGATTTTGTTTTATGGTGTCCGAAAGGATTAATCAACATGACGACCGATCATTAGGTACTTTTAGCGTTGATATCAGGAGAGGGCGGTGCTATTGTGGGAGGTTTCAAGCATTTTATTTACCTTGCTCTCACATAATCGCAGCATGTGCTAGTATACGCCAGGACCATAACATGCACATACCAGATGTTTTCAAGGTTCTAAGTGTATTCAAAGTCTACAGCGAAAGCTTCTTTGGACTTCCACACCACGAAAACTGGGTAACATATGAAGGATTTACTATTTGCCATGACGAGACAATGTGAAGGAATAAGAAATGACGTCCAAATAGTACAAGAATTAGAACCGAAATGGATGATCCTGAGAAAGAAAAGAGAAGATGCGGAATATGTCGAAAAATTGGTCATATGCGTAGAAAATGTCTGAATGTAGCAGACCCGTCAAATCGGCTCATCTAAATTAATTTATTTGTTTTTTATGTTATTTTAAAAAATATTTTTTAATTTATAATGTCTATTATATATTTTTTAATATTTTAAATCATTGAGTATTTAATATTTATAAAACAATTAAATAAATATTTTAAAATAAGTTTTATATTTAAATAAAATAAAATAAATAAATAAAATAAGTCTTTTAGGGTTGTTCGAACCTCAACATAGAAAAAAAACTTTTTTATCGATTTGTCATTCCATTAGACGAACCCCTACTGCATGTGTGGCAGATTCGTGTATATATATATATATATATATATATATATATATATATATATATATATATATATATATATTTTATATTTTGATACATTACATTTTAGAATGTGGCATTTTGGTAAAAAAAATCTTTATAAGAATATGAATATATATTTGTCCTTATGCAATTATTTCTCAAGTGTGGTTTGATGATAGGTGTAAAATGGGGAATCAGATTCCCTGCAGTCATCTCTCACCTATCTATCTCTACAAATTTTATTTTATTATTTTTAGAATAAAGTTATCCGAGGGTGAACAAGGGATGCAAAATAGATCCAATGGTGGAACCATGACTGCAGTGACTGCACCAACTTTTTGATTGCAAAGGATCATGGTCTAAAATGGATGTACGCCACCCCATTGTATACCACACAGTCACTCTCTCACTTTACTGACCTTTGTTTGAACATTTCGACGACTCCCATAAGCCACCGCCGTCGTCTCTCTCTCAACTGTAAGAATTCTTCAAAATCGTTATTCTTTAATTTACTTATCATCATCATCATCATCCATTCTTTAGGTTTTCATCGTATTATTCAAGATGATTCATAACTCTGATTATTTACTAGGGCACTTCACTATTCATGCTTAGATTACATGCTTTCAGATCTCAACCTTTTCAACATTTGAAAGTTACTCTCGCATCTCTCCCTATGTAGTATGATATGATTTCAAGTTTATTTTCAAATCAGATGCGATTTTGAAATCTGGATAGTCATCACCTGCACATGGTTTACAACTCTAAGCAAAAATATATGAAGAAAATTGAAATTGGAAAACGTAGCTTCTGAATTGGAAAACCAACTATCGAGGATCCCATTCCATTACATTCCATGGTTGAATAAGAAGAAGAAAAAATGTACCTTCTTATTATTTACAATTCATTTTGAATTTGTAGTTGCTGATGACTTTGCTCGACCACAAGGAAAATCAAAATGATCGAATAAGTGACTTACCAAGTAATGTCATTGATGGTATCCTAGCAAATTTGAAAATTCGACACCAAGTTAGAACTAGTATTTTGTCAACAAAGTGGAGGTATATGTGGACTTCAGCCCCACGTCTTTGTTTTGACCAAGACTTTTATCAAAGGTTTTTGGATCTCGATGACCCTGACGCTGTAATTTCTAATGCCGTCACGGATGTTCTTATGTTCCACAATGGTCCGATACACAACTTTTCTCTTTGCATATATGATGACTTCGATTTCGAGATCAACGTGGATAATATCAATATGTGGATTCCTTTTATGTCAAGGGACATTAAACATCTCGAGCTTGTGACCCACTGTATTTTTAAAGATCAAATGCCTGATATTCTCTTCTCTTGTAAGGAATTGACTTACTTCAAATTTAGCTCATTTAACTTGTCAATTCCGCCTAATTTTTGCAGCTTTAAAAAATTGCTTGAACTTCACTTATTTTGTGTTGAGTTCGAGTCCAGTGCACTTGAGAGTCTTATATTGGGTTGTCCGTTTCTTGAAAAGCTTGTTATTGAATTATGTGATGGTTTTGAATATCTTGATATTTCTTCTCCTACTCTCAAAGACTTTAGTGCTAGTATTAATTGATGATATAAAGTCAATTTGTCTCAAGAAAGCTAAGAATTTGCTCGATTTTACACTTGATGCTAATCATAACAGCTTATCTGGTTTGATCAAAAGTTTGCCAAAAATTAAGAGGTTTTCAATGCTCCGTGGAAAACAGGTTAGAATTTAGGAAACATCACTAGTTGTAGTATTTTTATTATTTTTCAGTTGGCGTTGTGATTAGATATTTTAAAAACATTATCTTACTCTTTTATTATACATATTTATAAGAGAAGTTGTGTTGAACTTTGTTCAATGGTCCAATCCAATATTGTACAGATAATCTCATAGATTTGTTGTTTGTATGTATAGAATTCATATGCAGATATCATTCCTCCCATGCTGCTAACAAGCTCATTCAGCTCTTTAGAGTATCTGAAATTGGATGACTTGAATTTGAATGATAAAGGAGAGATTTTGTATTTGGTCAGGGTTCTCGAAAGTGCTCCTAGCTTGATTGAACTTGTTATTAAACAGGTGAACATGAAAACCTATGCTTCTTATCTTGTTTCTTAATGTTGTATTTTGACTCTTTAATTTTTATACTTCAGAGTCACAAAGATGTTGATACCACAGAAATGTTCTACTGTTCCAAGGAGTTAGAATGCCCTAGTTGTTGCCTCAAACTTCAGACAGTGGATGTCCACTTTAGAGCTAACTCTCAATATACAATGAGTTTGATACAGTTCATACTTGCAAATTCCCCTTCGTTAAAGACTCTTACTTTTTACTGTAGTTATAATAATTTAGATGCAGTTATGTTGTTAAAAATTTCAAAAGACTTGTTATGGATGGAACGAGCATCACCAAAAGCACAGGTTAATTTCCGTCATGTTTAAAAGACTCTTATGTGGCGATTAGTTGTGGTTATAGACAAACACAAGATATGATAAGGAAATGAGAGTAATGAACCTGGACTGATGTAGGCAAATGATACTACTTGTGCGGCAAAGAGGCTGGTTGCATATTGGTGTATAAGTGTAACTATGTATTTTTAGGTGTAACTCGAAAAATCTGTAGTATTTGGATTAAAAAAATTAACTCTAATATTTCTTTACTACTACTTAAAAGAAGTTATATGGTATTCACCGAAAATATTAAAACCGTTCAATTTGTCGATTGTAAGGAACAACCTTTTTTAATATATAGAAATAATACTAATTAGCAAAAGTGAATATCTAATAGTAATATACATAGTTTTTCCTCCCACCTTCTTATCACATTCTATATTTTAGATGAGTTAAAACCAGCCTTTTCCGCTTTATTTCGGTTGATTTATTTGATTTCTTTTTTCTTTCAATATTCAGATCAAAATTAAGGCACTAATTAAGGCACTTTCCAGAAATGTGAGGGAAGAAGCAACCTTTTTGTGTAATCTGAATTGACTCAATTGGCTCTTGTATAAATAGTTAAATTTGAAAACAAATATTTTCGTTTCTCTTTCTAGTGATCTAGTCCACAAGCTGAGAGTAGAGGATTTCACTCATCAGTGCATGTGGGAATACATTCAAGTTATCCGATCAGAAAAAAATTCTCGAAACACATATAAATAAGTGATTTTGTACTTGTTTTTTTCCTGCACTTTTCACCATATTACTTAAGATTGAGGAACTCGATAGCTTCTCCATTTGTTTTGTTTTTTTTTATCATTATCGAATTACTAAAGGTTGATTGATGCTTCAGTGGATTGCTTAAGAGTGAGTGATTTGATATTTTTGTTTTTTATTTCGCTGAATGATTTATGTCTGAGTGATTTGGTATGATTTTTTTTCAAACTTGTTTCTATTTATGTTTTAATAATATATTTTTACTAGTGTTGCATAAGCGAGGGCGCGACGGTAGGATTATTCAGCGTGAGCTTTTCAAGTTTAGTTGGCGATGAATGCACATTAAGATTAGCAAGGTGCACTTGAGAAGCAACAAGATCATTTTTTTAAGAGGTCCTGCGAGCGTCTTATCTAATACGTAAGAGCATCATGTTGCTCACTGATTATGGTACATAGAGATGAGTAATTCATTTTTATTTATTTTAATAATTTTTAACTATAATAATTATTTATATTTTATAATGTATATTTGAAATTATTTTCAGAAGCGATGTCTAAAAATAGAATTGAAGGTTGTAGCACATGAAAAAAAACTGTTTGTCTTGGTGCCACAATATCTCCGACCTCTGATGTAGGGTTGAATGAATGACTCTCGTCTAACTTCACTTCAAAATTTTAGTTTGCGGATGATTGATCATAACCTTATCTCATCATTTGTGGAGAAATGACATCCTGAGACACCATCATTTCATAAGTCATTTGGTGAAATGATGATTACTTTTGACGAAGTTGCAACCTACTTCACCTTTTGATTGTAGGTGATTTCTACAATCATTCAGAAGATATCGACGAAGAAGGTATTGGTGCTTTCGATATATAGAGTTATTGAGAGTCACTATAGAGGAAACTACACAAGATACTTGAACTTGTAAGGGTGCATATTACATGCTAGAATGGCTACATACTACTTTTACAAGACATCAATATCTTAATCAATTTGAATACTGTTATAGCTTATTTGTTGTTATTGATAGGATGCATTATTTATGGAGACAATAGTTTTAATCTTGTAGAGGCAAAATTCATATCGCTACTTAAAAACTTGTCAATCTGCGGTAGATATAGTTGGGCGAAGCTGCCTTAGTCACCCTATACAGAATTTTAGAAGACAAGTCAAGGTTTCCTTGCAAGCAGTTCGGCAAATACGTCATTCTTATATAGATATTTATTTCTATTTAATTATTTTTTTTTAAATTTTGTCATTGATATTATTAATGTTGTAACATTGATGAATTCACAAGTATTTTCCCATTGTTAGTAAGCAACGAGAGATCCCATTTCTAGTAGACTTTCTCGAGCTATGAGTTGGACATTTAAGCAAGGGACAATGAAGTTTGATCATCCTAGGAGTGTGTTGGATGAGTTGACACCTCATTATGTCAGATGATGCCCATTTGAGGCTCACAAACATGTTAACATTTTGATGATATATGTCTATTGTTGGTTGAAAATGTGTGATGTGACATGCAAGTATACATGTATGTTTTAAGTAGCAAGTGATAAAATAGTAAGGATGTCGAACCCACATGTAGTGGAAAATAACTTAGGTTGATTTTTTAAGAGCTATATTTTGTAAATGAGCATGAATAAGATAAATACAACTTATGGTTATCACAGGTTCAGTTCGTTAGTAAACAACGTCAAGAACAAATTAAGAAAGTAATGTTGGGTGAGAATATGGGATATAAGCGGTCTAGAGGGGGGGAGGGGTGAATAAACCCTTAAAAAGATATTTATTTGATCGATTCTCCAAAATGGATTATCATATATTTTTCAAAAGTGAGCGCGGAAGGTTTAAAGCAAAATAGATATACTTTTATTAGAATTTGATCACGTTAATACTTAATCCATTCATAAATACCAACGTTGGTTTATGATGTCACAGAAAAGGTAATCAATCAATTCAGTTGTATATTGCACGAGTTGTGTTCATACAATAATTCAATGTCAATGGATCTAACCTCAATAGTTTTTCAGATATCAATCAACATTAAAGCTCTATTAGGCACCAAATATAATGAAACCTAACTTTTCGTAATTAATCACTACCAATTGAATAAACTATAAACTACCCTAAGAATTGAAAACCTAAGCATGCAATATCCTACTAAAAATTAAATGTGTGTGTGTATGTGTGCGTGTGCGTGTGTGTGTGTGTGTGTGTGTGTGCGCGCGCGTGCGTGCGTGTGAGAGAGAGAGAGAGAGAGAGAGGCAAGGGTTTCACAAACCTAATTCCATCAATGGTAAAAACTTCTGTGTAAGGGTTTCATTTATAAAATCACTTATGTGCGCAGTAAGCTGAAAAATCCCAATAAACAAAATGGTGTCTACTTTACCACGACCAAATCCTTGTTTGATTAAAAAAATCCTTTCAATCGTTTCTACCAAGCTTTAAGAGCTTGTTTGAGACCATATATGACTCTTTTCAGTTTAAGAACATAGTTAGGATTCTCGCGATCCTCAAAACTAGTAGGTTGAGAGACATAGACTTCTTCGTTTGTATAGCCATTAAGAAAAATATATTTAACACCCATTTGATAAAGCTTAAAATCCAAATAGCAGGTGAATTGCAAAAGGAATCTAATAGATTCTAGACGAGCTACATAAGCATAATTATCCCGTAGTTTATTCCTTCAGCTTGACTACACCCTTTTGCCACTAATCTTACTTTATTTCTAGTTATTACGTTGTTTTCATCCATATTGTTCCTAAATACTTATCTAGTGTCGATGAATATTTTATCATTCGGACGTGGGACATGGTCTCAAACATCGTTATGTTTAAATTGGATAAGTTCTTCTTGCATATCCAATAACCATCCCTTGTCTGATGGAAAATTGCGATCTAAACGCAGCGGAAAACAAAACAATTTCCTTTAGTGATCCTTACGAATGAGCATGGTCAGTGATAGAATCGTTACCTCTTTGTGGCGATTCAGATCTTTGATGCAGCGATCACAAGCGTTGATGAAGTGCAACGCCTCTACTCAGTCCACACGAACAGCTTTCGGTCACAGTGCTAGCTGCTTACGAACGGAATTATTTGAGTGAGAAAAGAGAATCAAAAACGAAATTGCATCAAGTGAAAGCTTCATCACAAGGGTTCCTTTTATAGACTCTCTTGTGGGTTGCGGGCTAAAAACCCAATTCACATGATCCATAATAATATTATATATTATTATAATAACTATTATTATAATAAATATATTTATTTTATTATTATTTTATAACCATTATAAAATAACAATAGTTATTATTATATTATCTGAATTTCTATTTTTCACTTAAGTGCACCGTACCTTACAGTGTTCCTTTGATTTCTCTATCTCTCATCAAACTGTCCTTATGTGTGTGACCCTGTAGGATTTCGTAACGTTGGTAATTATATTAAAATATATATTTAACATAATAAACAGTAAGCGGTATCTAGCAACACATCACTGCTACCCAAGTCACGAAAATGTCATGTGATCTGACAAAACCTTTTTCGTGATAATATATGTTTGTACAATTACCCTTTTTGCCCCTATGTCTATATTGAACACAAGGCATACACTGTGTCATCCTTGTCCAGTTCAATATTGGGCCCTTAGACATTTCTCCTGTTATGCAGGATTGGCAAATTCCATCTAGGACACTCATGTCCCTCAGCATGCTTCGTGGAGTGCCCATCAACTGTCTTTATGATCATCCAGTTACGGATAATGTTTGATCAGCAATAAAGCACCCGACTCTACATCTAGGGTCCATAGTGGTTTCAGGTCGAAGGGTGGTAATACACCATTATCACCATGAGAATAACTTATGACACTTTGCATAACATACTATGTAGTATTCTCATAGCGGGTCAATCCGGTATAAATATTACTCCTAATATTTATACCTATGTCAAGACTTGATAACTCTTTATCCATGATCCATGAGATGTGATCATCAGTCTATCTTCATAATAGTCTCAATGCTTTTAATGTTATTCCACTTTGCAATAAAACTTGACTACGGATATTTTAAGAATAATGTCTTTATGTTTAATGGGATCTCATGATTAAGTCACACTTAACATTTCATTAAACAGACTAACTATTCTAGGGACTTTATTATTCTGAAAGACAAACATAATAAAGAAATGCCTTTTATTATTAAACGAATAATCCGATACAAGTACCAAAAAGTATTGGCCTTTAGGGCTTACACCAACAATTTAAATTGGATAAGTTCTTCTTGCATATCCAA